GTGTGCTCATTGTTGAAGAAAACCTGCTTTAAAAATAATGCAAAGAACTACTTTTCAAGACTTGGACTTTCTGCTTCAGAAAGGGGTATGACACTCCCCTTCCCCATTACATATTGACAGTGAGTGTATGCAGAGTGGGCCAGTAAGAAACTATTGTCAAGAAAGTCAGAAGGTCATGCCCCTCTGTAACCAAGGTGGGATTCTGACCAAGGTTCTTTACTGGGCTGTTACTAGACCTGCATATCAGCAAATAAATGCTTCTTATACCGTCTTCGGAGCCTGAGGAGGTGATCAGGCCCCTCATTTTTCATACAAGCATAGATTTTATTTTATTTTATTTTTTTTTGCTCCTGTTTCATCTTCCTTTCTGTCCCTCTGTTGTTTATTAAAATGTGCAGTACAACAAGAAAAGGAAAAGATTATCCTGCTTCCTGCCATGCAAGATGGTTCGCAGAAGGCCGAGGTTAAATGCAGCGTTTCGTTCCTTAAGCTTCTCTAATGCACAGGTACGGCAGAACAATCTGGGCTGAGAGCGCAGAGCCGCGACTCTCTGAGGATACAAACTTGAGTTTAATTTGTGCTCTCTGGCTAAGCTAAAACCTTCTTCTGCTATCATTATCCCACTTATGCTTGTCTTCCTCTCTCTTTCCACTTTGCCATCCAGCTGAGTGGGAAGAAATTCACCTGACCTTGAAGAATACTCCGAAAAATCTGAAAATAAGGTTTTCGGCAGCCCACTAAAGGCTTAGACTTCTACCAACATTTGGATCCTGCGTGCAGAGGCCTGAAAAGATTCTTAGAAATGGCAGATGAGGAAAACAACATTCGAGGGTTACAATAACCAGACAAAAGCCACGAGTGACTTGGGATGAGAAAGAAGCCACCAACTTTCCAGTATGCCACAGTGGGCTCCAGCCAGTGCCTGTCAGAACCTTTCTGCTCATTAGGACATCAGCAGAGTGCCTGTGATGTCTCCAGTGCGTGGAAAACTCTGCAGGGCATACCAGGAAAAACAGTCTCCAAGGGCTGGAAAGGAGAGGCCTCACCATTCTCAGGCTCACAGGCTCTCTGCCACATTCGACCAATGTGGAGAAGTCCTCCCAATCTAAAAGCTTTCTTCTATGTCATTGTTTTAGATCCTTGCCCATTCTGATGCAGATGAGCTACAGCAAGATGAAGCGGCATGGGTTGAGAAGCACCCCTGAATCCAAGGACTAACTTCAGCCCTCACTACACTTTTCTGTTCCATGAACTCAATACTTAAGTTCATTTTGCATTTTGCCCACACCTGCCTGTGCACCTTGACTGCCTGGCTCCTGAGGACCTGTGAGATTCCCCTTCATTCTTTAGAACGTCTCTCCTCAGCCTCCTGGGACAGAAGGAAGTCCCGAGTGAGCAGGCTCTGAGTCTTGGTGGAGAACACAGCCCTGCAGGGCTCAGCTTCTGCTGTCCACTCTAGACCCACCCTTCCCTGGCCCCTAAATGATCAAAACGAATGAACAAAGTTCCTCTCTTACCCAGGCTTTTCTGGAGGGGTAATGCTTTAGAGTCTTGTCTGCCACGAAACAACAATCTGGTTTTGTAAATGCAATCCATTTCATGGAATTGGGTGAAAAAGTGAAATCAAATTATACCACAATTTTACAGAAAACCCTGACAGGAGCTATTTGGAGACCTTTTGTCTAGGTGTTGCTACCTGCCAGCATTGCTCACTTTCTTCCCTCCATCTTGAAAAATGACCTCACCCCAATCTGTCTTACAACCTGTGTTCATTTAGGACTTTTTTTTTTTCTGAAAACATCACAGTATAGAGCTTAAGAAATAATTGTTATCCTTCAAAATGGTTTTGAACCAAATAGAAAACAAAAAGGGCCTTCTGATGCCCTGGCTTTCCCTCATAATCTATGCTGCACAGTTTTAAAATGCTCTTTCTCAGATGGAGTTTGCATAATGTAGGAAGATAAAGTCCATATTAAAACAAAGAATCATAAAAACTAAACTTAAGTTGTCACATACAAATTTAGTTGATCTTTATTCCCTGAATAATTTTCAGATCATACATTTTATTTTATTTCATAAAGATCATTACCTCTGAGAATTAAATGTCTGCATGGTGGCTTTAGAGTGGTTTTCTTTTTTAAGAGTTCAGACCTTCCATGTTCACAAACTCAAAAGCCCTACAGCGAGTGTTGGGGGAAAAAGTTTAGACCATGAAACTCTCCCTTTGTTTACACATGCCTGACATCAGATTTTTATTCTTGTTGACAGAGACTTCTTCAAGTTTAATTCTGTATCTATTCAGAAATGGTTTTAAACTTTCAACAAGGCATTTCTTTGGTGGTCACTCATTCAGGTCCACTTAAATATCATAAATATATTGATTAAGTTCAGAAGCAAAAGTCCTGACAAGAAAATGAGAATATTTTATCAGGACTCTAAGGAGACAAAATGTGACTTTGAGCATCCCTTGGCTGAAAAGTGAAACAAAACTAAACAGTCCAGAATTTCCACGGCAGCTGGGAGCCAACTTAGAACTCCTCAGGTGTTGTCAGTGTTCTGTGAAGATTGGCGTTTACACAGCTCCAAGCTGGCTTTTACTAAATGGGAAACAACTCTGGATTATAATCAACAACTTGGGCAGGTGTAAGTCATGCCATCTCTCAAGGCAGGATGACTTTTTCTTTGGTGATGTAACCTAGTTTGGTGTCTCGGTGGGAGCAGTGTAGAAATGTTTAATTGCATCTTGTCGTGGTTTGGATCTGAACATCTCCCGCAGGTTCCTGTTTCAAACTTACTCCCCAGCTAGTGGGGCTATTTGGGGGAGGCTGTAGAACCTCTAGGTGGGTGTGGCTGGCAGAAATCCATCCCTGAGGATGAGCCATTTAAAGGCAGTCCCTGGTTCCTGCTTTGGTCTGTACTTCTTGGTTTACAATTGTGAACAGGCTCTGCCATCCACTGTGGCTACAGACTGAGTTGCCCCCCATGCCCTCTCTGCTATTATGGACTGCAACTCTCCAACACTGGGAGTCAAATTTAAGCACATGGTTTCTATCAGGTAGTGTGCTATAGAGTGTAAAAGTCACTGGTTCTCTTGGTGTCTAGGCCTGTCTACTTTAACTGTGTATAAAGCACATGGTTTCTATCAGGTAGTGTGCAATAGAGTGTAAAAGTCACTGGTTCTCTTGGTGTCTAGGCCTGTCTACTTTAACTGTGTTTAAAACACATGGTTTCTATCAGGTAGTGTGCTATAGAGTGTAAAAGTCACGGGTTCTCTTGGTGTCTAGGCCTGTCTACTTTAACTGTGTAAAAGTCACCGGTTCTCTTGGTGTCTAGGTCTGTCTACTTTAACTGTGTTTAACTGTTTGTTCTTTCTTTTCTTTTCTGTTTTCCTTTTTTCTTTTTGAGACAGGGTTTCTCTGTAGCTCTGGAGCCTATTCTGTAACTAGCTCTTGTAGACCAGGCTGGTTTTGAACCCACGGGGATATGCCTGCCTCTGCCTCCCGAGTGCCACCACTGCCGGGCTAACTGTTCTTAAAAAGCATTAAACTGTCTCTGGGATGACAGACACACATTTCAGCTGCTGACACTGGGGCATGTGTGCATTTGGTTACGTCTCCTCTCCCTTCAGATGTTAGGGGTCCCAGGAAAACACTTCTAGCTTGAGTTCATTTCAGTATCATGTCAAAATTGTTAGGTTGTCTTGCCCTTGTAATATTTGTGAAAAATTACACCTTAGCCCTGACTTTGGAATGTGCTCGTGGTGAAAGTCACCTTTAAACACCTTTAACCAGGAAATCACAATCATTCCTCAGTCAGTGTTTGGATTTCCAGGTAAACTTGGAACCACTCCAAGTGAGCAAGTTTAAAGAGAAAAAGCAATGGATCATCCAATAAAATCAGTTCTAAATTGCTAAATTCCTAATCTACCTGCCTTTAGGCTGTGTGCTGATCTGTGCGATTTTGCTTGTTTTCCTGTTTAATAGCCATAAATGCCATTGCTGGTGTCATCCTTGGATTGGGGAGACTGGATCAAGGCTCACCTCTAGAGAAGGTGGGAGGGCTAATTGGCCTTGAAGTGGATGCCTAAACTATTCACTTGCTTGTCATCACACCTAGAAATATCCTGAGTCATTTGGAATCTCATTGAAAAAGTACCTCATGTAAGTTGAAAAACAGGTAGCTGATACCTCCTGCCTTGGCACCCCAGTCATTCTGTTTAGAAGCTAATCCGTTCTAAAGAATGCCTTTCTGAAGTTAGAATTATATATTCCAGAATGTTCCTCTTCATTCCTCTTCAATGATAGTGGGTTAAAGATAAGCATTCATGATTAACCTAAAGTATTGATTTTTTATTCTTCAGTTTCACAGTAATAAAGTAAATACACAGCAGCTTTATCATGTATCAAGATGCAGATTTGTTGAGGCCCTGGGCATACATTTAGAGTACTTGTTAGTCTGTGAAGTAATGGCTGGAATCTGGGACATCAGACTGGGGCTAAAATTCTTTGCCCTCCTAACCCCAGAGAGTATTTAGAAAAATAAAAACAAAAGAGCCGAAAGTACTGAAGGGAAGACATTGTTGTATTCATAATATAGAGAAATAACCAGCAAGCCTCGTGGACAGGAGATGCAGTTCTCCACGGGGCTACAAAACTGTGCTAGTAATAATTTTAATTGGATGCTATCTTTGCAGCCTTCAAAAAGTATCATAAAATGGAGTTATTACAGGCTACAAGTGCACTTACACCGCTGTCCTCTCACCGAAAGAAAGACATAACATTTATCCTTCGGAGGGCAGCGTCAATGGACTTCTATTTGTTTCGTTTACATTTGTTTCGTTCCCCAGCTGCCTGCCATTTGCTTCCTCTTCCCTAAGACTAGGAGATCAATTTGAATTGGACACTGTGGAACAGGATGCTATGTCTTGCTGGCCTCCTGGCCTTGGGGACTGTACCACACCATGGGGGAGTCCCTCCTCCTGAGAAGGATGGAAAGCATACCTGTAGAGGGTTGGGCGGCGTGAGCGGTGACGGAAGGCTATGTCCTGGAGATGCGCTGGGTTTCTGAGGGGGACTTGAGCTCTGTTGGCTTGGAGATGACTGATTCTGGCTCTGGGGGTGGGAGTGGGATTGGTGCTGTTGAGACTGAGGAGCCTGCGGCAGCTGAGCTGGCGGAGCCGGTGGCTGCTGTGAGGCAGGTGGTGATTGGTGGGGCGGTGTGGGCCGGGATTGTGGCTGTTGAGAGTGTGAGGGCGCCTGTGAGGCTGGCTGTGGGTGCTGGCTGGTTGGTGGTGGAGGAGGCAGTTGCTGTTGCTGTTGTTGTTGTTGCTGCTGCTGCTGGAGCTGGAGCTGCTGGAGCTGTTGCAGTTGGGAGTTCAGGGATGAGGTAGCTGCAGGGAAGACAGGAAGGATGGCGTGAAACGAACAGGACAGATACATGTGTCTTGATGGCTTGTTTTGTGCATAATGACCAAGGCCCCTTTTACAGAATGTGGCTTCTCTCCTTGAAGCTCCTTGACATGGTAGAGGACTGCGGGACGCTGGATGAAACAGTCATTTCTTATGAAAATCTTACAATTTCAGACCAGAATGGAACACAGCAGATAGTCTTAAAGCTCTGAGCATTGCTTTAAAAGCACTGCATTAAGGAGCTGCACCAGGGATGGAGACAGTTTTGAAGCACTTTCTCCCTCTTTCCCTTCTTTTCCACCAGCAAAATATACTCATGCTTTCAAGATTTGATTTAGATTTTCAAAGTTCAACCCGTTTAATTCTTTTGGTAAATGCTTGACTGGAGTTAAGAACAGAACACTAAATTGTTAGTAATCTCCTTTCCACCCATCATCAACGCCATTAGTGGCATCATTTTCACTTGCTACTTCAGACCTCCGCCAATTTTCTCAGACATCCTGGTTTCAGTGTGTGATCTGCTTTAAAGAGAGCTCAGATGTCTCAGGTTTTCAGAGTAAAAGAACCCTGGATGATTTAATTATTTTTTTGCTCGCTGATCAGACAGAGCTCTTAAACCGAAGGGATTGTGGCTGATGGCTGTGAATTGGTTAGATACATTAGCATCTCAAAGAGCTAAGAGAATAAATTAATGCTTTAGGCTTTTCTTGAGTTGTGTGTGTGTGTGTGTGTGTGTGTGTGTGTGTGTGTGTGTGTAAAGCTGTCTCTGCACCAAGCAGCCAGCAACATTGCTTCTCAGGCACCCATTAGGCACAGGGCAATCTCAGTCTCTAAATCTAGAGATATATGTAATATGAAACACCATACAATGTACATACCTTCATACAACAGATATACCTGAAAATGTATGGGTACTAAGCCATATTTTGAGGGTACCCAACAAGGAAGTTAACTAATGGCTACTTTTGTAAAGAATCATTTTATAAGAGACATTAAATGCCACCTAGATGCTGGCAGGGTGCCAGACAAGATGTAGGATTTGAGGAGATAGGGTCCTACCTTCTAGAAGCTTATAGTGTCTTTGAGGAAATAATATCAATTCATAAAAAGGGTACTATTTGGTACAATTATTACAGAATCCTGGACGGAGTATAAGCTGGATTCATAACTGTTAATCAGTTGCATGATGGATGGTGTAAACCTAACAGAGCCAGATCAGAAGAGTTCTGTGGCCTGAGAGGTGAAGGCCGCACCTGATTGGATGTGGGCCTACACAAAAAAGATTTGGGAAGAAATAGAGGGAATCTCTAGCTGGAGAAACACCCAAAGTCCACATGACTAGAGTGACCTCTTTGTAGGAAAATTTGAGACAGACAGAATGAAACTAAGAGTCAAGGAAGTTTCGAGACACTTAAACTTCAGGGATATGGTTGGGGGAAAGTGCTCACAATCAGCCTTGGCATAAGTTAGATTTCAGATAATAATCCAGGTTTACTCAAAGAGGGCAATACAGACCCTCTGGTGAGTTAATAGTGTTCCCCAGGGTCACCAAATGCCAGTTCTCTGATCTCAGGTACCACGAGGAGAGTCACAATGGCCAGTTTGACAGAAGTCCTGCCTGGGTCATTGAATCACTTCAGGTCTCTTCAAACAGTCTGAATCCTGCTTTTCAAAGGGCACCCAGGCTACCCTGGGGCTTGTATGCAACTCTAAAGGTCTAGGTGACTCATAGATGACCTTGTCATTGTCCTCATTACCAAAACTATAAGAGGAAGGCCTATTTTGTTATTTTCTCTGGCACTTCTTAATACACCAAATCATGTTTGATAGAAAACCAAGGATCCAAAATCAATTTTGACCCTCAAGATCCCTCACATTCTGGGATTCCTGGAAGACTGAGGTTTGACATTTTTATGGCGCAGTTATAGACACTGGAACCTAATTGCACCTCCTCTCCTACCTGATTCAAGACAGGTCTCTCTAGGCTTCTTCCAACCGGGGCACATACAGCAGCGCTTATTTTCGTGGCCGCATTCAATACCACATGGTTTCGTTTGTATCAGAAAAGCATTTATCTAAATCAGCACTTAGGAACTGGAAAGACTTCATAATATTGGCAGATAGGTATTGGCAGACAAGTGCAACAGACCCTAACCTACTAATGAGACAGAGTCCCAGTTGTGTCTTCCACACTCTGTGTCCATGAGCACACATTACTCAGATAGCCCTCTAATAGCAGTTTGACTGGAAAGGCACAAACCTGAGCAAAACCCTATTGCACCCAGTATACTGATTTGCATCTGAAGGGAAACGGAGACGGAAAATCAGATGTGGTCACAATGTGGAGGTGCAAAGGAGGTAGATAGTGAGAGTATACAACCTTGGTCCAAAAAATTGTGTGAACCGTCTCCCCAGTGATGCCAAGTTCAAAACCACAGTAGCTCATATTATAAAGCCTAATGAAATATTGGCATGGAAAATAAGAATTAAGTAAACCGAGAAAGTTCTAGGACATAGGTGAACTATAAAATGGTGTTTGCAGGCAAAAAGTTGTGTTGGAGAATAAAGCTGACCCCAAATGGTCAAGATTTTACTGTCTTCTTGTGTTTTTTCCTATATCTGTTTATAACACACTGGACAGGGCCAATGTTAAATATGGAATTTAGGCTACAAAAGATATAAGCACCCGTGAAAGAGGCATGTACAAAATACACCTTGGAAAATTTAAATACTTAAGACTGTGGAATTGGAAAACAAAATTCTCTCAGACTCACAACTTCCTAGAGCCAAGAGAGGGCTGCGGCAAAATGGCTTGAAATTTTCCAAATAAATAATTTAATATGACCAAGGAGTAGCCAAGAACCCTGCATTTTGCCATTTGTCCAGTTTCTATATTTCAACTATACATTAAAAACAATTTCTCATTTTGAATGCTTAATGTTGCCATAGTGAATCCTACAGTTAACTAGGCCCACACAACCGGGATGGTCAGCAGCATTGCGTAGGATGAGTATCACTTGTGCTCAGCTCCAAGGCCCAGAGGAAAAGGGAAAGAGTAGACAGCTGTCATTTGTTTCCTTGGAGATTGGTTTTGATTCCAGGACTTCTGTGGAGACCCAAATTCACAGGTGCTTACATCTATTTACAATGACAATATATAACGTGTGTAAGTGGCTAATTGTTATGCTGTTTTGCCTAGAGAATAAAAACAACAGAGAAGTCTATGCACATTCCTTACTGATCCAGCTTATTGAAGCTTCCGTCTCAGAACTTGAGCTGATTGTACCTGCATTTTAAAGAGTCCATGAGATCCTGGAGAAATGAAAACACGCCCATCTGCTGAATCCCACTCTCCTTCAATGTGGTACTGCCTTGCCTCAAACCAAGCCCTCCACAACTCTCCTGCTTTTAGTTTCTTGGGATCCCAAGGGCCTCTGAGGGATGTACAGACATTAAAGAGTTGGAGCTAGGATCTGCATATCAGAGAAAACACACTGCATTTCTCTTTCTGAGTGGGTTTACTTAGGTCAATATATTTATATTTCCAGTTCTATTCGTTCCCTGCAAATTTCATAATTTCATTTTTCTTTATAGATTAACAAAACATACAATATTGTGTATTTGTACATTTTCCTTATCTGCTTACAACATGTAAGCCATCTAAAAAAGTCATTTAAAGATAGAAATTCATCCTATGAGTTCTGTACTTCTAGAGAACCCTGACAAAGACACAAACTATGCACAGTTCGATCTGGTTCCATATACCTGTGTCTGACTACTCCACTGAGCTCTGGCTATAATCAACCAACTCTCTCTTTTTCTTTATCTCTCAGCTTAAATTCCTTGGCTACTTGTGGAGGGGAAAGAACAGATTTGAGTTTTAATACCAAATCTCTGTCTCTTTCTCTTCCCCGTCTCAATCGAGCAGGCAAAAACAAACAAAAGCCATTGCGCCATCTTTGCACACGCATGCTGGATAGCACCCTCATGCTTGTTATCAGTTACCCCCCTCTATTAAGAACAGTGCTCAGAGGAGCTTGGCCCCTTCTCAGCTGAGAAGCTGGCGAGGAGTTTTTTAAATTTCTTCTTGAGTGGACGGCGGAGGCGGCAGGAACCCGGACGGTGGAGGCAGCCGGAGGACGCCCTCCTCAGCCGGCGGGGACCGGCTGGGACCAGCTGGAACCGGCTGGGACCTGCTGGGACTGGAGCAGCAGCAGAGGACACAGGCCACAGGCGGCAGAACCTTTGTGGCAGCAGAAGCAGGCTGCAGGGTCTGCGCGCAACACCGAGAGCAGATCGCCCCACTACAATTAAATCAAAGAGGTAGTCCTTTGGTTGGGGAGGTCCCTGGCAAAGGAGGAGCCGGGTCCTATTCCTGAAGACCCTTCTGATGGGTGAGAGGGATCTTGGCCCCCTGGCAGGAACAAGGAAACAGGGCGAGGGCATTTTGTAAGAGGAGCCCCTGGCCAGCAGGGAAACCTGAACCAGTTTTAACAGACCCCTTAGATAGCATCAATAGGAGGAGATGGGCAGGTGCCAAGGCAAGAATTCACCCAATAATCTGAAAAACAGCATGAAAACACCAGAACCCAATGATCTTACAACAGAAGGTCTTCAACACCCTAACACAGAAGAAGTGGAGAAAATTGACTTTATGGAAGCAATAGAGTCCCTTAAACAACATGTGAAAAATGCCCTTATAGAAATGGATGAGAAGTATAACCAAAAATTTGAAGAAATGAGTAAATACATACATAATACCCTGGGAAACCAAGAAAGAACTATCAAACAGGTAATGGAAACAGTTCAAGAATTGAAAACTGAAATGGAAGCAAGGAAGAAAACACAAACTGAGGACCAGCTGGATATAGAAAATCTAGGTCAACGAGCAGAACCTACAGAAACAAGCATAAACAATAGAATACATGAACTAGAAGAAAGAATCTCAGATTCTGAGGACACCATAGAGAAAATAAATGCT